GGAGGCGCCGGACGGTTTGCCAGAGTCTCTTCGAGGCTGACCGATAGTCCTTCTCCATGGCCTCACCGAACTCCTCCCAGACCCGAGTTTTTTCCTCCGCAACCGCCTGGGCTGCAGCCCGCTTGGCCTGCTGGTACCTGTCGGCTGTCTCAGGAGTCCCACGAATCAACCAGGCTTGAAAGGACTCCTTCTTCAGCTTGATGTCATCCCTTACTTCCGGTGTCCACCACCGGGTTCGGGGATTGCCACCACGACAGGCACCGGAGACCTTACGACAGAAACAATGCCTTACTTTGCTTATGTGCATTCCTGTGTATTTGTAACATTCACAGTCATGTGGCTATAATTACTACTTATTACTTATTGGTTAGTCTGAAATTAGGCTCTACATTGCCAAAATGTCTCAGTGCAATGAGAGATGTTCTGAAAACTATTGTCACCAAGATGCCACTTTCTCTACCTCACCAGTAGATGGCAGTCTACTAACATCACTCATTTCATTTGTTCCTTACGTTACCGGGTTGTTAGGGGAGAAACACCATTGTTTTCATCCTTTTTTGATGAGTATTTCAAAAAATATATCATCTTATTTGTTTGGCATGTGCTTTCATTTAAATCCCTGTAAATGATGTCACTGTGCACATTTAACAACTAATAATAACTTTAGTTAGTTTAGGGAGTAACTGCTCTCTTTGTCATTACAGTCCAATGGGACAGACTTTAGAAAACAAATGGCTAATGAGGCGTTTTTCATTTTGTTTATATTCCTGAACCAGGAATTGGTCCAAGGTAAGACCAATAACATTGTACAAAAATATCCTGCCATGTTTTCTAATACTGCATATAAAAGCATGTAGAGCGTCATCATTTAGCAAAAGAAGAATCATAATTTTTTAATCTGCAAACACTACAGAAAAGTGTTTTTAAAGACCCAGAGAAATTACAGCAAAAAGATTAGTAGCTTAAAAATAATTGGTTCAAGCTTTGCATGATCAACAAGGATAGGAAATACCATTTAAAAGTTTAAGATTGTGGTTTAAATAAACCTTACAATGGTGAAGATGGAGGTGAGGAAATTAAAGTTGTTGCAGATGTATAATAACCCAACTTTCTGTGAGAGTGCTCTTTGTCCTTCTATCCTTATGAGAAGTTATAGTCTCAAACACTGAGTGTGAAGAATTTTTGAAAGTGAATTTATCTCTTCAGGAGCTGTTTGAAGTCCAGTTCCTGGTTAAGGTTAAAATTAGGTTAAGTTTTAGGTTAAGGGTGGAATTAGACACTCCAGCACAGAGCGTCCCAGTGAAGTGCTGGGCCACCACGTGCACCACAACAGCTCCACCTTGTCTCTCCAGGTCTCTGAACCCTCGTGGATGGATGACCACTGTTCTTCTTACAGATGTTCCCTCATGTGGTGTTTTGATGGTGGTGGTGGAGACACTAACACGTCGCTCCAACATCTCCCATAGCTGTTCAACTGGGCTGAGACCTGGTGACTGGGAAGGCCACAGCATCTGGTTCACATCATGGTCATCCTCATCAGACCAGTCAGTGACCCCTGGTGTCCTGTGGATGGGGGGGGCTCTGTCATCCTGGAGGAGACCACTCTCATCATGATTGAAGTGTTTCATCACAGGAAAAAGGTGATCACTCAGAACAACTTAGTATTGATCTGCAGTGATTCTTCCCTCTAAGGAGACAACTGGGACTAAACCATATGAGCAAAATGCCCCCGCAGCACAACCGAGTCACCGGATCCCCCCCTCTGTCGGGGTCAAGCTTTTAGGCTTTTCCTTTAATTTGCTACCTCTCTGTACTTATGATGGAGCCAGGGAATACATCATATCAGTGCAGGTCCTCACAGGTACACAAATATGTGTTTGCTTGTTGATGTCCTCAGGGTCAGTATGAGCCAAAAAAAAATCCTGCTGATGTGCTCAGAGCAGCACAAATCACTAGCTGCCGCACACACACAACAGAAGCAGACTCACCCCCTCACTTCCTTTTCCATAGCCTTTAGATGTATTGACAATTCCACATCCAGTACTTTTTCCTATAATTGCTTTATGCACAGCTGACCGGACAGCGATGCTAATGTTGCTGCTGGACTCGGTGTTCAGTTCAGGCTCTACTGTCCATGGAAATATGGGCTGCTGCTGTTATTTCCAGCACTGATTCTCTCTCAGCAGCTGTCTCTCTCTGCTGTCCTAGTAAATCCCTTCCTCTGCCTCTGTTCTCTGAGGGACGACAGCAGTCTGGTTGTGTGTTGCTCACCCGCATGTTCCAATATCAACCCTATAGCCTGTGGTCACGGAAAGGTGCCTGTCATAACCAGGAAGTAGGGTGCAAAGGAAAGATGAGGCCCTGGCTTCGCTCTAACAGGTCCAGATCAATCCAGGTAAGACTTGTTTCTAGTTTGTAATTTAGTCAGAAATCAGTGCATCTAATACAACAACACCAGAGCCTAGATTCACCAAATAACCACACTGTTTTTCATTAGATATTTATATTGAAATTAGGTGTACTAATAGAAATGTATAACTTGGCTTTTTTACTTCACTTTTATATTAATCATTTAGAGTAAATATTGGGTGTCATAACATTATGATGCTGGCATATCAGTGTTTAGACAGGTTTTGGAACAAACTCAAAGCTGCTAGACAAATAAAATCAACCAACTTTTAGTCAATGTAAATGTCACACATCAAGAGCTGCATCTACAGTTTCTGTCCAGAAAAAAAGGATCACTAGTTATAATCATAAATGGCATACACACCACAGCTTCCACAATGGAGAACATGTATAGATCTGATTCTGAATCACTTAGCTGTGTACTACACACACTTAGTTTCCAGTTTACAACCAGCTGTTAGTAGAGAGAGGTTAATCAGATCTAATACGGGCGTGCTGATTAGGGGTAAGTCGTCTTTGAGCAGCCTGGTCGGGATGGGGTCTAAGAGACACGTTGATGAGTTAGATGGAGCGATTGTTGAATAAGTGTCTGTTGTCTTTAATATGCTTAAACTTAGTTCTGAAGTCAACAAATGCAGATAAAAGGCAGATTTCTTGGCAGAAGATCTCCACAAACTTCTGGTCACATTAATGTTCCATGTGTATTATTAGTAAAAATAATTATAACAACTGGAAGATGCTTGGAGAGCAGAGTTACAGTTTGTGCAAGAATATCATACAGGATGTGTGACAGGACAGAAAAAATACTTCCTCAAATGGGCTACATACATTATAGTATTAGCTCCACTTTACCAGCTGTAACTTTAAAGGGATAAACACAATAATACATCAATAATTATATTCCAGTAATAGACATGTGAAACTGTGCTTTGGTACCTTAATTTTGATGCTGACACGTTTGTACTTTCACTTCAGTAACCTTTTCGGTGTAGGACATATAACAGATTATTTTTACACCTGTGGTATTGCTACTTTTACGTAAGTAAAGAAACGTATTACTTCTTTCAACACTACAAAAACCAAGTCATAGTTCAGGTGTCATTTAAATGAATAATCAAACGTTAGTTACGACTTCCGAAACTCTGAAGATTGATTTTTATGAGGAGCACGTAAAGGCAGCATGAACGCAAGGGAAAGCGCCGTAGATGTGCGCATGCGTAGCCCTGTTACCGTTGACGTCCCTCTCCTCCCTCCGTCTCGTCTCGTCGCTGTGTTTTTTTCCGGAGGGGTCCGTTCTCCTATCTGAAAACAAACCGGTAGTCACGTCTCCGTGTTCTGCCGCTGCTCATCCTACGGCCGACACCGAGTGAGCGGAGCTGAGGGCGGCCTGGGCTCCGAGGAGAAGCTGGAAACCGCCTGGGAGGCTGCATATCCGCCGCTTTCTTGTAATACAACCGCATTTTGCCATTGGTTTATTCCCCGAAGCCCCGAGCATCTCTCGGTGTCTCATAATGTTGTTTTAGGCGGGTTGGACTCTGTTTTTGTGACGGTTTCTTCGTGGGAGCCAGCTTTTGACGTTTTGGTATTAGCCGGCTAACAAGAGAACAGACACTCGCCCTTTCCCCCGCTCAGCCCGTGGTGGCCAAAGACCCAGCGACCGTTCCGTTTGCCTCCATGGTTCCGTTTTGCCCCCAGTCTCACCAGAAGACAATGCTGCTGCAAGTGAACCGGTGACCTACGGGGCTGCTTTGTGAACGATCCGGCCGGTGTGCCCCGACATGGTGCGTTAGCGTCTGGGAAGCACTGGGGGAAAGTGGAAAGCTCAGTGGTGGCTTCGGTCCGGGCGGTTTCTTCTTCCGATGAGGCTGGGCTGATAGCAACACACCCGCCAGACATGAGGTTTGTTTTCACGCATCAGGTATAAGCTGGATCGCCGTCTTGGTGGTCTGTGCTGCCTTCACGGACTGTGACAATGAGGACTGTATGAGAAGTGAGGCTGTTTTTTAATGATACACGGAGCCTGGTGTGAGGGACAAACGGGCTGAGGGGTGTTTTTAACCCACTGTGAACACGAAACCAGAGCCTGCGTATTTTTTCCTCCTGGACGGCGAAGCGCACTCAGGGACGGCTATGTCTTTACGCACAGCACTGCCTGGGAACGAGCGGAACCCGGACCATGTAAGTAGATAATTGAAACCACCGTTTGCCACCGTCAGCAGCAGCATTGGGTTACAATCAGGCTGTGTTATGTTTCAGAAGAAAATGATAACGGTAACCCCCTCAGGCCGAGACATCGGTCTCCATGTGCACAGAGCAGCTGCAGCCAAGACAGATGCGCGATAATCTGCCGTAGCTCATTTGGGAACCGAAGCAATTTGGCACGGGATGGAGGTGGAGAACAGGGGAGGAGAGGTTTGGGGTGGGGGCGGTAGAGTCGTTAGCATTACACTGATTACACACAGATGCAAAAAGCTCAAAGTGAATGAAAAAAAAA